CTTTCAATATCCTGGGCCTTCATCCTTTTTAAAATTGTGAGAGTAATATGTGTATTTGATAGAAACATTTGAATGTTTTTCTGACTATAAATATACGTATGCATGTATATGCATGTATGTATATGTATTTACTATAATAAGCATCATATCTATTATATGGATTTTCCCATGCCCTTAAAAATCCTTAGCAGCCATGTTTTTCATAGCCGCATAATTTTCCACAATAATATCACACTTTAAAACCAATCTATCAATTGTTGGGCACGTCAGATTTTTCACTTGTTTTCCTATTATAGCTAACACTGTGAAGAGTGTCCTTATATATGTTATTGTCCACAGATATAATTAGCCACAGGGTTTCCTCCCAGAGGGTTTGAGAAGTATGATCATTTTTCAGCCTTCTGATAACATGCTGCCAAGTTGCTTTCTAGGACAGCTGGCAGCGTCTCTCTTCTGGGCACACAGCCATCGAGGAGAGAAGGCACCACTGGCTCCCCTTCTGGAGGGTGGGTGTCAATGGTACGTGCCTGGGGCGGATGTTTTTGGTCTGTCTGTCCAGCCTGACCATTTCCGAATGACACCTGCTTCCTCTCCCACTCGTGTCTCTCCCGCTCCCCCTCCACCCCCATAGCTGAACTTGTCACCTCTTTCCTTCCCAAAGGAACATTCTTAAGACCTCCGGAGGCTCTCCAGCCCTACGCCTATGTGACTTCTTTGCTGGCAAAGAAGAGGTTTGAAGCTCGCCCCTCTCCTTCGGTGAAGGGCAAGGGCCAGGTAGAGGACAAGGAGGGCACTGACCTTGAGTCGCAATGTAGTGCCGAGGTCGGTGGTAACCCTGGATAACAGAGAAAAGCACAGTGAGAGCTTGCAAACAGTGCAATATCAGTAATGATGCTTTCCAAGACACGATGTCCTCATGGGCAAAATAAGAATAGCATTGGACGTTTCCCAGAGAAGTGGCAAAGATTAAATAAGATAATGCATATAAAGTGCTTAGTAAATCACTAAATGCCAGCTATTACTATGTAACTATAGTTGCAAGGGGCCCGCACAAGCTTGCCTTTGAGACAGTGGCCTGGGAGCAAAATTGGGTGGGTATCACTCACGCCCGTGCACCCAGAAAGAGGTAGAGAAGGAATTTTCGGGTTTCAGTGGGATGTCAACCACCAAAAAGTCTTTCCTGAGCCGTGATGGTATTGAGAACACTGCGCCAGGCCCTGTAGGGCACCCGAGAGAAGAAAATAATTGCATTGTTGGCTGCTTGCATTAGTGACAATTGGAAAACGAAAATTGGGACGGATGCTATACTGCCTCTCTGTGCGATGTGGGTGGGCTTGGCATTGAAGTCTCGTTCATCGGGGAGGGACCCTGTAGGTGTGACCTAAAGACTGATAAAGCCACTTTCTGATTCAGAGAATCCGCCTGTTTCTGGTTTCCGGGTACCTTTCAGAAGGCTCCAACAGGCCCTGCCTGGCTCTGGTGTGGGCTCACTCTGTTGCTCCTCAATCCTCATCACTGGGGAAGAGGTTGAAGACAACTTTCTCTTCTGCCTGGGCAGGGCATACATGGAGGGTCCTCTTTCTTGTTACAGAGAGGAAGTGTATCACATTGGGAAGGAGTTCACGTTTTGGAGACAGATCTCCATCCATATCGTACATAACATTGAACGTAACTAGCATTTATTGAATAAATGAATGGATGGATGGTTAAATTAATTAAAAAAACCAAAAAACCAAACAAACACGGATGCCAATTATGGAGCCTGTTGGTGGAGAGGTTCTTGACAGCCCTGAAATCCACTTTCCTCTGTGGTTAACCATCTCAGGAAGAAATAAGTCCTAGAGTTTGACAAATGCCTGTTTTTTGCCGTGAAGCATTGGTCATCAGGCTTTCTGCCCTGTTGCGGGGCACTAGCTGCCTCGGGGCTCCCTTCTTCAGGAACTAGGCCGGAAGTGCCATCTCTGTGGTTCATGGTGAAATAGACATGGCAACTCTGAAGTTCCGGTTCTGATTCAGAGCCTAGGTTCCGAGTCCCCTGTGCATTTCTTACCTCAGTCTTCCACTTGCTCCATCAATATTTTGTGAACACCTTCTCATTACTGTGCATACTCTAGTCATGCGTGGGTTGACTCTCGGTACCCACCCAAGGCCAATATCACGACCAGAACTGGCCTTTTTGCTGTTAAATAGGGGATAACAGGGTTGACATGATAGCATTGCTGAGACATGGGCGGTAGGAAGGAAGGCGAGTGATCCGAAGAGCTATCTGCTCCTCCAGGTCAGGGTGGACAGGCTTTCCCAGGCTCCCAGGAAGAATTAGACTCGGGGAGCTTTCTTGAGTAGGTTTGGGAACAGAAAACAGAACCTCGAGTGTGGAAAGAGGCAGTCTCCTCAGTCCACGCTCCTCTGTCACTCTGTTATCTCATCGTCACTCTCCCAGTGCTCGCCCTCCCTGACCCGGGCCATGGCACCAGCCTCTTGCCGGTCCCCTGCCTCCAGTCTGGTCCCAGAGCCCATGTCCTTCCTACCAGAGTGAACTTCCCAGCGCACATCTGATTGTTATTTACCCACAGAAAAGCTGGCAGTGGCTCCCCATTGCTGGCATAGTAATGTCCAAATGCCATAGCGGGGCTGGTCACCCCTCTCCACTCTCATCTCCATCCCTGCCCACAAGCACATGTACCCTATGTCCCAGCCTCCCACAGTGCACTTCAAACGAGAACCCCTTCCTGCTGAGCGGCCCTGCAGGGCTTTCTACATGCCCAGTGAACACACTTACAACATGAGCTACCCTAAGTGTTTTGTGCTTTTCTCCTTCCGGGCCATGGGACAGGTCTCCCAGAGCTGGGTGCAGCTTTTAGCAAAGGCTGGTTGGTGGCGCTGAGGCATGAATATACGTCTTTGAGGTGAGATTGGGGCACCTCCTTAACACACGGGTTAGAAGACCAGAGATCATCTGGAGGAACTGATTTGGAAGTTTCTAGCATGCTTGGAAGTCGATGGGATGAAACTCTGAGCAAGAAAGTCACATTTCAATGGTGGGGTTAGAGGACTTGGGTTCACCATTTTGTTCATTCGTTTGTTCGCTCAGTCATTTACTATCTGGTCAACAGATATACACTGAGCACTTCCTTCTGTGCACAAGGCACTGGAAATACAAAAGTGACCCAGATGGGTGTGGGCTCTGCTTCTGAGCAGCTGATAGACATCAACAGACTGGGATAAGGGAAGACGGGGGCTCTGTGGAGCTCCCATGGGGAGCCGGCTCTGCCCAGGAGGCCAGAGAAGTGTTCTCTGAGGTTGTGGTGGCTGAGTTGGTCTAGTAAGCTGGGCGTGGGCATCTCGACATCCCTGTTATTCCCATTTCATCCCTTCAGCAATAGTCTCACTTTCACTGCCGCCATTCCCCCATGGCTCACTGGCTGTCTTGCTTTTCTTTAGAAACAGCAATTGTGTTTCTACCTAGAGGCCTTAGCACTGGCCATTCCCGGTGCCTGCTGGGTCCGTCCCCAGATCACCGAGTGGTTGGCGCTCTCTCTCCATCCAGGCTTCTGCTCTGCCGTCAGTCACCTCTCCAGAGAGCCCTACCCTGACCACCTGTCAGCCTCTTTCTGCTTTCTCCGGCTTACTTTTTTCAGTGCACTGACACCAAATGGCACAACGTTCTTTGCTTATTGGCATATGCTTACTGTCTGTTTCTCCAGCTGCATGAGGGCTCCAACAGGCAGCGCTGTGCCCAGAGAAGTCTGCCTGGGCCAGCAGCCTTGATCAATACATATCGAGCACGTGCACGCATATACTGCACGCCTATCCCCATGCTGCGTCTGCGTCCAGAGACCCCCTCTAGCCTCCAAGAACCCATACAGTCTCTACAGAGAAAACATTCGAACCATGAACGACACTCCTCCTCAGCCGTGGTGAGAAAAGGAAACGAACTGCTCCGTTGGGGCTCCTCTGGGGATGCGCCAGGAGCTTGGACAGAAAACTTCCTAACCTTAAAAGAACTCTGAGTTCATTTAAGTCCCACCTATCCAGCACACAGATCGACTGCCAGCCAGCACCGGGCCTGCCTCCATCTGTCTGTGAGCAATGGGAAAGAGGTTTGCATCCAAAACGCATTTATCTCACTCGGCACTCATGCATCTGTTATTTACTGGGGACCCAGATACGATATTTATTTTCAGGCTGGTAATTTATAACAGATTCAAGTGGCCAATACATCCTCGGGTGTGCAGACAAACCTGCCAGCGGGGTGGTTCAGATGGTGGCGGAACCACGACCTCTGGAGGCACAGACAGGGCTGGCCCCATCCAGCTCACTATCCACATGGAGTCGTTTTTAATGAGTCGTCGAAGTCCAACTGTGGACAAATGATCCTACTGCTGGCAGGGAGTTCTTTACAGAGCTGGGAGGATTTCAGCTGGGGTAGAGACCAGGACAAAGAGGTGAGGACCAGAGAGCTGTCCAGCCTATGGACTTGCCAGGAATCCCCAGAGAAACTCCAGGAACTCTTACTTTGCTGGAGTAGATAATAGGTGATTCTCCTACCCTCCACCCCGTGTTGGTAACTCTGTGCTGGAAGGCGCTTGCACTTGGTGTAGTCACTGTCCCTCCATGTCCCCGCTGTTCCCTTCCATGCTCTGCTCTGTGCCGTGGGAGGCTGACCTGTATGGATCACACCATCGACTTCCGGCTTCTGGTTGGCTTTGGTCCATGGGGAACAGAAGCGGGAGCTCAGAGGTCTTGAGGAGCTCGGGAGTGTATGTTCTTTTATGTCCCTTGCTATCAGGTCACTGTGGGTTGGCCTTGACACGCTATCAAAGGCTACAGCTCCTATCAGGGGGCTCTCTCTTCCCTCTCTAAGGGAGCTCCCTGCTGTTGCTAGCCTGGGGACACTGCACCCCATCCTGTTGGTTTCCCTTAATCTGTTCCCACCCTTTTTAACCTCTCCTGGGTTACTCCCTTTGAGTGAGCCTGTTTCCCAGTGAGACCCGGACAGAGACTTTACATCAGTTATCAAGTGCTTGTGGGGTGGCGTTCTTATCCCATTTTACAGATATCAGAATGAGTAAATAATTTACCCAAGATCATAAAGCCAGTAAGCCGAAATGCCTGATTCAACAGGGCCTACAAGGACTGAATTCATGACTTTGGTCTTGTGAGCCCTTAACTCTAACCACTGAGATCCAGCACAGAGCCCAGCATCACACACTAAGGCAGTATCAGGAAGAGGCTGTTTGGCCCCTTGGCATAATCTACCCCTCAAAGAGAGAAGGAGAAGGTTGTGGTGTGTCCTAGGTGGGCAGAGAACTGGATTCTAGCTATGTGACCTTGAGCAAGGCACTTAACCTTGACCTCTGGTTTCTTTCCCTACTGGCTTGCAGGATGCATTGTAATGATAGAACCTGGTAGGAAGGGGAGGCATAATTAGTATTGACATTGCAGAGACTCACTTGCATTTACAGCAATTTCATTTGTTGCCTATAAAATACCATCTGACTGCAGTCAGATGCTCGCTCACCTTTGGGTTGAGTGTCTATCTAGAAAAATGATTTTTGCTGGAGGTTGTCAGATGCCAAATGCCAGATATGGCAAGTTGGGCCAGCAGGCCCCACAAGGGCCATGGCCCCAGGGCTGACACGCCCACTCAGTTGTAGACAAGGCCAAGGGAAAATGGAAGAAACCAATTCAACCTGGTTCGGTACGTGCTGACCCAGTCCCCACCGTGTGCTGGGTGCATGGCAGTGTCTGGAAGTGGGTGGGGAGGGGCAGGAGGAAGCACCCTGGACTAGGAGTTTCTCGGGTCTGGTTTGTCTCCTGGTTCTGCTGCTGACCAGTTGTATGGCCTGAGACCAGCTTTGCAATCTCTTCAAATTTCAGCTTCTTTATCTGGAAAATGAGGTGACTGCCTACCTTGGAGGGGCCATTGAGAGGTCTGGATAAATGGACTCATTTCAAACCAGCCATCGTAGGGCTCAAGAGTGACTCCCTTAGAACCACTGGCGGTTGTCATTGTTTTATTATTATTATTATTATTAAAGCCAGCAGAGCATGGTGGGGGAGGCACCCCTGATTCAGACCCCTGATCCTTCCTCCCTCACCTCCTAACAGTGTGATCCTGGATAAGTTATATAAGCCTCAGCTTACTCAGCTGGAAATGGGTAGTAACAGCACTTACTGTGTGAGGTTGGGATACTAGTTAAGGTAATGTTGGTACCTGAGAGGGGGTCACTAATTCTTAGGTTACTATCAACACTGCTTACATGGCTGACTTGTGTTCATTGGCTAAGACAGCACTGTGTCACCTCCTCCAGGAAGCCTTCACAGACCACCTCAACCCATCTTTTTTTTTTTTCTTTTAAAGATTTTATTGGGGAATTGGGGAAAGGGAACAGCCAAGTTGTTGTTCTTCAATCTTAGTTGTGGAGGGCGCCAGTCGCCATCTGTCGTCCCATTGGCAGCTCGTGGCCTCTAAGCTCAAGGTGCTGTGTTCAATCTTAGTTGTGGGCGGGCATAGCCATCATCCCATGCGGGAGTTGAACCAGCAGCCTTGTTGTTAAGAGTACATGCTCTATCCACTGAGCCATCTGGGCAGCATCTCAGCTCAAGGTGCCGAGTTCAGTCTTAGTTGCAGGTGGGCGTAGCCCACCATTGAACAGGCAATCTTGTTGTTACACCAGCTGAGCCATCCTGCCACCTGTTGGCAGCTCAGCAACAGCTCAGGTCAGGCGCAGCGTCACTGGCCCATGTGGGAATCGAACCGGTGGCCCTGTTGCTCAGAGCTCACGCTCTTAAGGCAACTCTTAACCAACTGAGCCACTCGGCCGGCCCTCAACCCCATCTTGAGGCTTTGATTTTCCCTTCCCTCCTAGGCCCTGCTCTGTGAGGGTCTCCTTACTAATCTGACTCCCTCACTAGACTTGAGCCCCTTGTAAAGTCTGTATTTCCAGTACACTATGGAAGATCCACTCAGTGTTTGTGAAATGAATACTGTTGCATGAGGGAAAGGCTGAAGGTGTGATGGGTGAATGCTCAGAGTGCTTTCTCCAGGCTGGAGACAGGCTGTTCAGAACGGTCCGTCTCCTTGTGAATGTGCCTGACGGGCGAGGGGGCAGAGACTGTGCCTATCTCAACTGAACCTGAAGGTCCAGCCTGCTTCTGACCACATGAAGGCCCTTTGATAGCCAGGGTCCAGGTGAGGAACTAGAAACTGCTCTATGTGTTTCAGACAGAGGGAATTCAGTATAGGGAGTTGGTTATCCAGGTGATAGAGGAGCTGAAATGCCAAACCAGGACCAGCAGGGCAACCCAGAAATCCGCAACAGCAGGAGGCTGCAACCAACCCTAGAACTAGCGGATAATGAGAAACACAGAAGCTGCCAGAGCCCAGGAGCTGGGGCCGCCAGGCAGGGGCTAGAACTCTGGTGGGCCTGCTTGACGGAAGCTGGAGGCAGCCACGGCTGGGGCGGCCGCCCAAGGAAGCGAGAGAGCACGAGAAATACGCTGGCTTCTCTCTTCCATTCACCTTCCAGTCTCCCATTAGCACCTCACTTGAAGGGGTCAGCTTGCTGTCCTTCCTGTACCACACACACACACACTCACATGGAGACACACACTCTCACACTCAGACACACACACACACACACACACACACACACACACACACACATGCTCACATAGAGACATGCACACTCACATATGCACAGGTACACACACTCACACTCACAGTGAAACACACAGACACACTCATACACTCACACACAGACACACACACACTCATATCAGCAATACAAAGCAGAACGGAGAAGGACAAGGAATAGATCTGAGAGCAAACAGGCAAATAACCAACCCACGGCTTAATAAATGTTGGTTGAATGGACGAATCATCTGGTTCAGCCTAGATTATGGGGAATTCAAGAGTACGCCACTGCACTTTACAGTTTGTCTGTAAACACATTAAGGAGTCAGAGAAACCAGTGGATCTCTGGGCCACTGCTCAAGGTCCCTGGGCTCCTAGCTGAGGTCCTGAGAAGCCTGGTTTGAATCAGTCCATCTGGCCCCAGGGGCCATGCCCCCCCTTTGCAAACTTTCCCCTGTCCATGGGCACCCAGCGTGGTTCCTGCTGTGAACAGCCCCTTCCTCGGCAGTGTCTGGAACACCGAAGCGTCATCCCCTTTCCTAGTTGGGTGTCCTAATCCCAGACTCTTCCCTCTCGCCTCTCTTATCCCTGCTGATACATAAATCATCCCAAAGCTCAGCTCTGAACTGGTCACCTCCTTAATCAAAACCATTCAATCGCTTTTTCTTGCTTACAGGATACAGTCTGGCTTCCTATGTTTGGTCATCCACCACCAGCGATCCAGCTCCAACCTCATTTTCCACTATTTCCGTTATGGAGTCAAACTGACCTGTCACATATCTTTGCTTCCAGCTGCTACATCTCGGCTGTGCTGTTCTCTCTAACCAGAGGCCCATTTTCTCCCTCTTTGATTTTAAATTCTACCTGGGCTTGAAGCTTTGGTTCATATCACATTTTTGCATTCCCAATGGAAGAAGCAATTTCCTCCCTCATCTCTGAACCCCTGTAGCATTTTATCTGAACTAATGACACTCACCACTTTCTAGCTGGCCCTGGAATTACGCATGTGCACAGCTTATCTTCCTGCTAAGGTGTTAGAGGGTAGGTAGGACCATGGCATGTTTAGCGTTATGGTTCCCATAGCATCCAACACACAGTAGGCACTTTACAATTTTTGTTGCCTACCTAAATGGCTGTACCTTCAAATGAACGAATGGATGGATAAACAGATCCATGCACAGATGAATTAGTGGGTGAATAAACAAGGCTGGCGTTTGTCCTGGGTCCCCTGCAGAGCAGGCTACTCCAGCCAGCCTGAAAGAGGACGTGGCTTTAACTGCATGATTAACTGGGATTACACTAATTATACAAATCAGAAAGGAGCCAGATGGCTCTGCATGTGTTCTGGGGAAGGCCACCCTCTGGGGGAAAGGCTGGGGGACAGCCACAGATCATGAGCTGACCCCAGATCCCGGTTCCCCAGCCCCAGGAAGACCCTCACATCAATATAGTTGGCGTTGATGTAGTCAGAGTGGGGGTCTCCGTCCAGCACCAGCAACCTCACTCGGGAATGGTCATCTGCAGAGAGAACAGAAAACAAGGGGATGGGTGACGACAGGCCTTTTGGGGAGGCGCCAGCCCTGCCCTTCTTTAGAATGACCATTTATTACAATAATTACTGCACACCAGGCACCATGATACTTCAGTACACACTCTCATCTTAACGCCAGCACCACCCCACCACTTATCCCCATTTACAGATGAGGAAGTAGAGGCTCAGGGAGATTGCTATGCCTTAAAAAGGACCTGTATATACTTTTTCTCTTTTTGCCACCTGCCCCCTGATTCTGACTTTGTCATCACCTACCTGGGTGAATCACCTGCTTCTTTACATCTTAATGGTTTTGTCATTACAATGGGAATGGAAATACTTTCTCTGTAGGACAACGCAAGACAGACTATATGAAAACACTCGGGAAGCGAGATTTGTTGAATTGGGATTAATATGCTCTATTTTCGTGCCTACTTGAAAACGGCAAATTTACCTATTTTCCACATGGGCACAAATTGCTTTTCTTTTGCTTCTTGGAGTATTGTCTCAAATAGATTGTCGGCCACATACTGTTATCAATGCTATCCTTCAAGCGAAGCTGACTAAATCATTACAAAAGAGGTCATCAATAACTAAAAATCGTGTTACAGAGAATACCATTTCAAACACAATCTAGGCATAAACAAGATTTGCAGGCTCGGTCGATGGCACGCTTACTTCAAATAACACCACATAAAAACTATGTAAAAAAAAAGAAACTAGCGCAGCAGAACAATCAGGCTAATCCTTTACAATTAATTAACACGAGCTCTGTCCAACACACGTATAGACAGATGCAAAGAGAACACCCCGCTGGGTTTGGTTGGGAGGCGGGGCTTGGCTCCCTGTCCAGGTCATTTTACACATATCACTGCATGTCATTGCATCTACCGACCAGCCCACCTTTCTCTAGGGCAGGGCTGGGGCTCCAAGCAAGTGGCCTGAAGAGCTCTGAGCATCCCCGAGGGTCCCCAGGGGTCAAGGAGCTTGGGTCAGCTTAGTCGATTAGACTTATGCAGCACTTTGCACTTTATATGCACATTTCCTACTAGTAACTGGAAGCCCCTGAGAACAGGGACACTAACTGCTGTGTCCCCTGTTCTACCCTCTGCACCTCCATACGTGGCAGGTACTCACAGGTACTCAGTGATCCTATGAATGGATTGCCTCCTTGGACTGTCACAGTGATTCTGTGAGACAAGCAGCCTGGGTGCTGTTAACCCTTGTTACCAATGAGGAAACTGAGGTTCCAAAGGACTGACTGGCCACATGACCAGTGAATGGGAGAGCTTGGAAGAGTGAGGTGTTCTTAGCTCTTGGTTCAGGCACTTGGGCTTCCAAAGAGCAGTCTAAGCAGGTATCAGAAAAACATTTCAAGCGTCCACAGCAGAAGGAATTAACAGAGAAGCAGGTACCTGGGTGATGGAAGAGCTGAGAAGCCAAACAGAGACGGTGAAGTAACTCAGAGGTAAGGACCAGCAAGGGGACCCGGCCTCCCAGGGTTGGGGGGATAGAGGGAGGCGGCGGGATTCTAGAGCTCAGGGGCTGGGGCTACTGTGGGAACTGGAGCTGCAGTGAGCCTCTTTGGTGGGAACTGGAAAAAAGGAGGAGCCACCTGGCTGCCAAAGAAGGAACCTGTGATTGGGACCGAGGAGGAGAAATAGCTCCGCCTCTTCCTTTCTCCTGCCCTCCAATCTCCCATCGGTGCATGTCATTGGCCAAACTCAGCCAGAAGCCAGCTGATGAAAGACTAAGACATGCAACCTACAGGGCTCAGTCCCCTGTGAGAGAAAGTTGAGCAGGAGAAGAAGGAATGGGTCTCAGGATGGACAATCATGTCCAGGAGTGGACAGGATATCACCCCATATCCATTAATTAATTAATTCAAAAATTATTCATTCAGCATCCGCCATGTGCCAGGCACTGTGCTAGACCCTGAGATACACTGGATGACACTTTTTAAACTCATCATAGGGAAGAGTTTCAGTAGAAGCAACTCGAGAGAGTAGGTGGGTCATCTAAGTCACCCCTTTTGGGTGGGTGGGGAAATGGGGTGTGAAGTGGGGGAGTAGTCTGATCTCCTTTATGGAGTTCACGGTAGGTACCAGAGACTTTACATACATTATCTTACTCCATCGTTGATTCCCCCAAATAACTCTATAAATTATTATAATAATACCATAATAATGTGTTATTGTTATTATTATTTCCATTTCACAGATGAAGAAACTGGGGCTCAGAGAGGTTAAGCAAGTTTCCCATGTTACATGGCCTGTAATTACAGGACTGGGATTTTAGCTCAGCTCTGTCTGACCATGAATCCCTGTTCCATCCACACAATGTGCTGTCCTTGGACCCTGAGAGCCTCAAAGGTATTACTCCTGGTGTCGGTGCAAATGGCTGGTCCCCAGCTCATGCAGTGTGACAGCTCCAGAGAGTGGGACTTTCTGGGGGACATCCCATCCAGCAGGAGTTCAGACAAGGCCCACTCTGAGCTCAGGCCTTGTCACTATAAGCCTTCAAAAAGTGAAAATGCATATTGTGTTTTCACGCATTGGTCTCACTAATGACTTATCGATTCAAAAATCTCCTTTATTTATTGAGTTATGCCTGCTCCCGGGTCTACAGCACTGGGAACAGAGATTCTGGTTTAAAATGTTGCAAGGTAATTTTCTTTAATATACAATGGAATTTAAAATCTGAAAGCAAAAATCACCAAAAACAAAACAAAATGAAACAAACATTTCTTTAAGTTAAATATTTTTTAAGAGGAAGGTGCTTCTCATCACCAAAGGAGATGGTGTTTGCCCATATCTCCTCTTCATTCATTTATTAATAACGCATTTACTGAGCACCTACTATGTGTAGGCTTGTTGAAGGGACTAAGAACGTGATATCAAAGTGACACTCACACTTAAGGCGTTTGTCAGTGTTGTGGGGGAGACAGACTGTACATCAAAGTGGAACTCCAAGGTCTAGAAAGTGGAGAAGAGAGGGTTTGGGGAGTGATAAGTGAATGAGGAATTAAAAGTGAGTAAAGCTTGGGCCTCAGTAGGTTAAGAGCTCACTCAAGAGTGCAAGGTCTGAGCAACAGCAGTTCGAGTCCTAGCCCGAGCTGAGCTGCCGGTGAGCTGCCAAGAGGTGGTAGGGTGGCTCAGTTGAAAAAAAAAATTTAAAGAAGTGAGTAAAGCTTGACCAGTGGGCAATGTGGAAGGGTCTTTCCATCAGAGAACATGGCAAGAGTGAAGGCAGAGATCCTGAGAAAACAAGCCCATTGGGTGATCTAAAAAGTTTCCTGTCTTATAAACACGTGTGTGAGGAGATTAGCAATGGCAGAACTGACAGAGGAGGTAGGTGGGACTTAGAATACAGAGGTCCCTCCGTGCCATGTTAAGGCAGCTCGATGCACGTAGCCATGCTGGGCTCTGCAGGGCATCCAAACACAGCCTCTGTGTTCTGAGACTATAAAAGGCTATTTTAGTATGAAATGACCAAGATTCATTCTTACATGAGCTAACCTGTGGCAAGTAGGATACTGGTGATGTGAGATATGGAGCTCAGGGTCAGGTCTGGGTTCAAATCTTAGCTCTCTCACTTGGTAAAGTCAATTGGTCTCTCTTAGCCTTTGGTTCCTTACCAAAACGGTATATAGCTCACAGGCTATTGGGAGGATTAAATGAGGAAACTCAGGCATGGAAAGTGTGAGGACATTAAGAGAATGAAAAGACAAGCCACAGACTGGGAAAATATATTTGCAAAAGACACATCTGATAAAGGATGTGCATCCACAATGTACAAAAATACTCTTAAAACTCAACAATAAGAAAACAAATGACCCGATTTAAAAATGGGCAAAAGACCTGAACAGACACCTTATCAAAAAAAGATATACAGGTGGCAAATAGGCATATAAAAAGTGTTCAACATCATATGTCACCAGGGAAATGCAAATTAAAACAATGAGATACCACCACACACCTTCTAGATTGGCCCAAATCCAGAACACTGAGAGGAGCAAACGCTGGAGAGGATGTGGAGCAACAGAAACACTCATCCATGGCTGGGGGGAAAGCAACATGGTCGAGACACTTTGGAAGACCATTTCTTCCCAAACATACTCTTATCATATGATCCAGAAATTGCTATCTCTGGTATTTACCCAAAGGAGCTGGAAACTTAAGTCCACACAAAAACCTACATGAGAATATTCATAGCAGCTTTATTCACAGTTGCCAAAACCAAGGCGTCTTTCCACAGGTGAATGGACGAACTAGTTGGGGTGCATCCAGACAATGGAATATTATTCAGGGATATCAAGAAATGAGTTGTCAAGCCATGAAAAGGCATGGAGGAAACTTAAGTGCGTACTGCTAAGTGAAACACGCGTCTGCAAAGGCTGCATCGTGCAGTATTCTAACTCCATGGCATTCTGGAAAAGGCAAAACTATGGAGAATGGCAAAGAGATCACTGGTTGCCAAGGACCTGGAGGGAGGGAGGAATAGGTGAAGCATGGAATTTTTAGGGCAGTGAAACCATTCTGTATCATACCGCAAGGGTGGATACACGACATTATACATTTGTATAAAATACCAAAGGACTGTACAGCACGAGGCGTGAACTCTGTAAACGATGGACTTCAGCTAATACTAATGGATCAATATTGGTTCATCAATGATAACAAATGGATCACCCCAAGTCAAGACGTCAATAACAGGAGAATCTGGATGTGGGTGGGAACAGAGACTATGGGAGCTCTCTATACACTCTGCTTCATTTTTTGGTAAATCTAAAACTTTGAAAAAAAATGTTAGGACAGTGCTGGGTACATAGCAGGTGCTTACTACATGAGGAGGTTGCTGGCTGGGTGTGTGGTATTGGCAGAGATGCTTAGAAATGTAGTGCTCCCCATTTGTCCTTCTTCCCAAACATACACCCACCTTTGTGCAAAGGCAGAGCCATGTGTGTGCTCATTAAAGGGCAGAACCC